ATTTACCTATTGTATCAAGGAAGCTTTTAAATAACCATTGTTACCTCTGATTTTATCTTTATTTTTATTAATTATTTATGTATTTTATTATTATATATTTATTCATATATGTATTATTTTATTATTAGTTATTATATAATTATTTCTTATCATTTATATACAGTAGATCAATTTAATAGTCTGTAATACGAATTAGATATTATTACTTAAATTAGTAAATTCCTAAATTCTTGTTAATCTGTAATACTAGAATATAAATTAGAGTACAAGTCAGAGTACAAGTTAATATCTCAGTTAAAGTACAAGTTAAATTAATAGTTAAAGTACCAGTTAAAATATTAGTATAGTTACTAGTGAAGTTTATAGTCAGATTACAAGTTAGCTTAGTAGTTAAAATCATAATGTATATAAAGGCTGAGAATTTCCTCAACTTAATCTTCAATTTCTTAGTTTTTGAATTAGTTAGGATTTATTAAGTAATAAAGTTAATATTACAAAATCCTTTGAGTTCCTTGTTTATTATATACTTTTGATAATTGATAAACTGTTTGTTCCTATTAACAAGTCTTCATACTACTATTAATAGTTAATATGCCTCTTTCATAATTGATTATACTTAATTTCTTCTACATATAAACTCTCGTATTGTGATTATTTTACCTTGAGATTAGTAATTTTTACAGTTATACTTAGTTTTGATTATTAGTTTTCATATTATTTTACTCTGTTGTCTTTGTAAATTGTAGAAGGTTTACATGAATAATATCATGTAAAACTATTTTTGATCTTGTCTGAAAAGATAGCTATAGTGACAAAATGGAAGTGGTTATGATTATCTATAAAATTATTACATACAGAATCATTAAATGACAATTAGTTTTTGCAATTGTATTGAGAAATATTATATCGTAAAAACGTGACTACAATTCTTATTGAGAGGAGTTTATCCAGTAGAATTAAATAAGATAGTTATCTTGGTCTTCAAATTTTACATCAATGTGAAAGGTTAGATTTTCTTGCTATTGGATCATAGATCAAGATACATTAAACCAGCATCACTTTTAGAATGGATTTTATAATGACAAAAAGAACTAATCAAGTTATAAATGTTTTTGACATAAATATATTTCTCAGGATTTTTATATTACAAAACTTCAATAATTACATTAGGATAGATACTACATATCACAAGCAACCTAATATCATTATACATTTTCAGGATGAATCTTTGATAACTGGATAAAAGAGAAGAAATATTTTACACAAGTTTGTGATTATGTTAGTTTTCGACTTTTATAATATAAATTAGATTGTTATTCTTCTGGCAATAAGTGTTAACCCCAAACTTGCAGTCATTAGAGATATGTTCTGTATTACGACTGTCTTTTGTGTGTATCTCTTTTCTTGACACATACTTTTGACCTCACAAGCATGTATAAATTTGTCACCTGGGTAAACTGTCCTTTTTATCCTTCTTACTATGGGTGATGGTAAATGTAAAACCCTCTTTCAACCTATGGTTTTCGAGTTATCTAGAAATAAAAGATAAATTCAAATTAATTTTTATTAAATAAAAACTATAGTGGTTTATTTGAGTAGAGAAAAAGATTTCGGTAACAATATACTTATCAAAGTTTATCTAAGTATTAAAAGACATTTCTGGTATTATCAAATAAAGTAATTCATTTTCATGTTCAAAAAATATGTTAGATAAAATTTTTTTAGGATTTTTAGTTAAATCAATACTATTATAGTCAAGTAGCTTTGACAGCACTTCACTTGTTTCCTCTAACAGTACTTCATGTGATTTATTATCAAAAGAAAAAAAATCTAAAGAGAGATTGTGAAAAAAAGTTACATTTAATACATTCTACATGACATACATAAAAGGTATAAGTACTAAACTAAATAAATAAAGGTGATGTGTATTATTTTGATAATAATAACTGATTACATATTCACGTGAGATAACTTGAATATAATTACATAATTAAGTGATCACAACAGTTAATTAAAACTGAATCACAAAACATGATGTTCAATACTACTGGTATAATTAAGACTTTTTATTTTTATCATTAAAAAGCAAAAAAAAATTGTATGAAAAATAAAATTTTAAAATTTTCAAATTTAAAAAAAAACGAAAATTGAATTTTGAATTTTGTATTTTTTTTAAAAAAACGAAAAAAATTGTAATTTGATATTTTTTTAAAAATAAAATTTTTTAAAAAATAAAAATTTTATTTTTTTTTTATTAACTTAATATATAATGAAAAAAAAAAATCATATAAAATTTCAAATTTGAAAAAACTAAAAATTTTTTTTTAAAAAAAAAAATAAAATTGGAATTTTTTAAAAAGTAAAAAAAAAATATATAAAAAATAAAATTTTAAAAATAAAAATTTAAAATTTTCAAATTTAAAAAAAAAATCAAAAAAAAAATTATAATTTGATATTTTTTTTAAAAAATAAAATTTTATAAAAATGAAATCATAATTTTTTGAAATTTTGAATTTTATTATTTTTTTTAAAAAATAAAATTTTCAAATTTTGTCATTTTTAGTAAAAAAATTAAAAAAAAAACAAAAATTTAAAATTTTTCTAATTTAATTAAATTATTATTTTTTTATTAATTAATTAGAGACTTGAAATTAAAACAAAAATTAAATTTTATATTTTTGTATATTAAATAAAAAATTTTTTTAAAAAATAAAATATTTAAAAAAACAAAAATGTAATTTTGAGAAAAATCATTTTCTTTTTTTTTCAAAAAAAAAATAATTTTCTTCAAAAAGTTTTAAACTATTTATTATATATGTTAACTATACGAAATTTGCTATAAATCAGAATTCTATTTATAGTAAAATTATCTTATTCTTTTTTTTTTATTAACCAGTATAAACTATACAAGTTGTTCAAATTATTTTTCAAAATCTCAAATTTTTATATAATATCAAATCCTGAATTTTCTCTTTTCAGCAAAACCAAATAAATCAAATTATTATAAAATATAAAAACAATCAGTTGTTTATTTTAAAATATAAAATGTATCTGTAAAATATAAAATAGACTTGAATATAAAATTAAAGTAAAAAATAGATTTATACAGTATTAACTTAACACAATTCTTCTTGAATGTTCCATAATAATATCTAGCTAATTGTTTGAAAATCAAATATTTAAAGATCTAACTTTTTACTTAAAAATATTTTAATTTTATTTCAAACTAAATATTTGATATATAATACTTACAAAATTGTTGAAGTCAAGGTGAACAACAATGTCTTTTTTAATAATTATATTGAATTACAATACTTTATTAAAATAAAAATGTATAAAGAACATAAGTAAAATATAAATTTTCATGGGATAAAAAATGATAAGAGATAGTATCTTACTTGTCCTGATATTAGACTTAATATTTCAGTTACTAAAGAATTGGTATTTAGTAAAAAAAATAGTATTGAGCTTGATTTTGATTTTAATTTTGAAAAAAATTTACTTTTAACAAATTAAAATATATACAAAATGATTCTAAATACAACTAAATTAACTTATTATAAAATGACAAGATTTTCTTAAATTTTTAGTTAATATCATTAAAACTACAATTATTCCTTCCTGTTCTATTAGTTTTTATATTATTTTTTACTAGTTATCTTTCAATTATAACTAATTACTTTTGTAATAAGCCTTTCTCAAACTCTGATAAAATATAAAATAAATAAATATAACATAAATGGTGAATATTTTTTGATCAACATGTTTCCCCTCAAATCTCATGTATATTTAGGAAAGCATTTCAGCAAGTTACACTTCTTCATAATCAGTTATTTCAATAAGATTTTTATATTTTAGATATCTAAATGAACAATAATTTGAACTGTTGAACATTAAAAAAACATACAAACATTTATAATAATCATGTCTCTGAATTTTTTACTGTTCACATTATACGTGTTGTCCAAATCCCAAATCATTTGGGATTTGGAATACCAAAATTCCAAATTACTAGTATTTGGAATTTGGGATTTGGGATTTCGGCAAAAAATACTAATCATAATTTGGGATTTGGGATTTTGGCATTTGGGATTTCGGCATTTGGATTTTGAATTTGGGTGACAGGTATAGTTCACATGCCATGTTTGCTCTGTTCCTATCCTTAAATAGCTTATAAAGATTTTAATTATATACAAAAATCAATTCTAAACAACTTAATTAATGACTCAAAGCAGATTTTTTATAAAACTTTGCATTATTTACATTTTTTTTAAAAAAACAATAAGCAATAGTATCCCTTGACAATGTAACTAATTGTCTTAATTAATTATGCCATATGTCATGTCATTTTTTTTGAGACAATCATCTATAATGATAGGTATCACAAATAACTAGATATTAATTGATATGCAAATTTTAAAGAATAATTGAATTTTATCATATAGAAAAATCTTTCACATAAATACTTATCAAACTTGCAAAGGCCAAAATTAGTAGAGCTAATACTAAAATGTCAGTTGTAGATTTCAACTGTACCTTTATTAAATTTGAATTTTAATTACATCATATAGTTTACTCCTTTAAAATTATGAATTTTGAATCACAAAAAACAAAAGAATTAATTTTGAAAATCTCATATTTTTTCAATAATATTAACTATATAATATTTTAAAATCGTTAATATGGGATCATTAAGAAAAAAGATAAAACAACCTCAATTATAGAAATAATATGATTTTTAGATAAAGCTGAGTGAAAAACATTTTTAAACTTCAATATCTTGTTTCATAAATTTAAACACTAAAGAACTAATGTAAATCAGATCAGACCTGAGATCTCAAACTTGAGCTTGGTTGTTATATCTCTTTTTTGAATAGATAAGAGTATATGTAATAACAAGTACAATATTGGTATATTTCTCAACCAAACAAATTTTAATGTTGTTAACTTTACTATTTAAGATTTCTGATATATCGATTATTTTAATTATTTATTTTTACTCAACGTGACTTATTAGCTTCCATAAGTGAATGATAGTAGCAGGAAGTATAAGTAGATTTTTTTTTACTAGAAATAAGTTTTGCTAAGAATAATTCTATAGTTTTTTTCTTTTTATTTTTATCATTTTATCTGGAGTTTTTTTTTCATTTTTTTAACTACAAGATCTTTAATGTTGTTTCCTGAATTTTTTTTTTTGTTCTTTAACAGCAAGAATCGATTTACTTTCTTCTACATTCAAATTTTTTATACCCCTGCCTATTGGCATATCATCTCAAATCTCTCTGCCTATTTGTGTATATTCCTGCCTATGCTTGCACTTGAAATTAAATTCATATAGTTAGAAAGAAAGTCCTTGTTCTTGGCTACAAAATCGTATGCGTTTTATCCCGGAAGCAACGATATCGCGGAGTTATTCTAGTTTTAAAGTGACAATTAATTTGCATTATTCACGGACTTTTTTTCTTTAAACTGGAATAACTTCGCGAATATTGATGCTACTGGGTGAAACACATACCATTTTGTAGCCAAGAACAAGACCTTTCTTTATATCTTAGAAATACCTTAGTAGAAAATCGCTCTACGCTTCCAAATCACGAACAAAGTCGAAAAAACGCGCGAAAATCTTCCGCAGATACCGTTATTAAAATTTCCTGATGTAACACAAACAGTATTGCGAAATTACAGAATTTTCGATAATAATTTTTTTATACAAGGTATGGACTTATTCAAAATTTTAAGTTAATAAAAACTGTGTACGCGTTTTTTAACGCCGATCACTTTACCAACAAAAATTACTCGCAATTGTATTGTACAGGTGTATCTTGCTTGGGATTTCATTAGGGTGCGGATGACTGGTAATAAAGTGAATGTTATTTACAAAGAACTCATCAGACTGTATTTATGATTGACAAAAATAAAGGTTAACTTTATTAAATAAAGTTGTGACGCAGTAGCACATAAATAGGTATGACTTGTTATTCTATTTATAATAGTTCGGGAGACAGTTAAACTAGCAATTGCATCAGTACTATACAAAAATAAACTATATCTGATAAAATAATATAATTATAATTATAATTCTTCTTTAAAAGGGGGTAATTCATATTTAGTAGGATCAAAATGTTCTAAAGAAGTAATTACTTCTGTTGCACCATTATCACCAGGATATAATGCCGCCAAATTAGGATCTGGTACCCAAATAACCTAATAAAATTAATAAATGAAAATAAAATAAAAAAAAATGGTAGAACCAATTAATATAATAAAATTTTAAATAAAAATGGTAATATAAAATTAAAAATAAAAGTACTTACATGCATTCCCGCATTTCTTGCAGCTTGAATTCCATTAAGTGCATCCTCAAAAACTAAACATTGTGAGACAGGTGGATTACCTGCTTTCGCTCGGGCAGCAAGAAAGATATCAGGAGCAGGTTTCCCATTAAGAACATTGGGATCATCTCCACAAGTAATATCATCAAATAAACTAAATAACTCTTGATTATTTGATGACTTGATTTTAAAATTATTTCGTAACGAACTCGTTGCCACCTAAATATTTCAGTATTTATTTAATCAAATTATAAATTATTAAATATTTATATTTTAGTAAAAATAATTAAATACTCACAACTATCGGTATCTTATGCGCGTTTAAATGTTTAACGAGTCGCTAAATAATCAACAGATAATAAATACAAAATTATATAATATAATTTCATATATAATAATATAGAATGTGTAATACGAATATACTAACCAAAACACCTGGCATTGGTTTAGAGTGAGGGAATTTAAGTTCCTTTTCAAATAAATAAATTAAAATAAATTCAAAAAAATTTAAATAAATTAAATAAATTAATTATTTTAAATATTATTATATTACTTCCAGTTTTGTTCTTTCTGTAAGATATTCATCTATTGTCACATCCAGTTGCGTTTCTTTTATCAATAACTCTACAGACTGTGAATATTTGATAATATTAAATAATATATTAATATTAATAATATGATAATATTGATAAAGTATTTATAAATTACAGTATTTGATAGTTAATAATATTAATAAAATTGATAAAAATTGATAAAGATTAAAAAAAAAAGAAAAGAATAAAAAAAGAAAAGAATAAAAGAGTAAGAAAGAGGAAATTTATTACATCTCGGACTCGAAGCCCCATTAAACGAGATTTGAGTTCCCATGTATAAGATTTACCATGTCTTGCTAAAAGTTCAGCTAATAGTAAAGAAAAATAAATAATAATTAACAAATAATCAATAAATAATTAAAAACAATAATAATTATCCATTTCGGTTAAAATATTTTAAACCAATTTACTTGTTATTTGGGTATAAATTTTCTCTGTATCCTATATATTATAAATAAATAATATTATTGAGAATTATTATATATCAGATATATCAGAATTACTGTAAAACTAGAATTATTGTAGTGACCTCGTTTAAATTTAAATTTCAATTGCTTAAAAACATACCAGTAACAAACCTATTATCCGAAAACCATATATTATAAGATTAAATTAATTGTGACAGATTTTCCCATATAAAAAAAAAAAAAAAAAATCAAAATTTACCATCCATATCAAAGATACAATGCGTAATTTTCACCATTTTGAAGATAAAATGGCTTCCCGAGTCAACTTTCAAAAAATCAGATTTTTAGGGTGTCATTAGATTTTTATTTGTGTCACATTATTTGTTATTGGAAATATGTCACGTGGCGGTAGAATAATCACGTTAGATGACAAGAACAACAGTTTTTAATTTTTCATAACTGAAAAATCTAGTTAAATAGTGTTCCGATCCTTAATTCTATAAATCCGAATTGATCCTATAATCCAGATTGATGAATCCTAAAAATAAAGGAAAATGAATACAAAGCTTTTAATTTAATATATTACAATATACATAGTTAATCCTAAATTTAAGGATAAGGAATAATCAGTGTTTGAAATTCAAATTTAAATCTTGTCAATTTGGAATTCTATATGCAAAAAAATATGTGCGGAGTTTTCAAATTTTGTGCTAGCGCACATTCCGCACATTACACTGAAGGATTTATAACTATATGTAAAAGGTAATTTTATAGTTACACAATGAATAATATATATGGTCCTTTAACGTCAGAATCATGTGACCCATGAGATTCTTTTTTTTAAAAAAAAAAAATGCAAAGATCGAGTAAATATCTATCTTTGACATCCTTAAACATCTTGTAAGTATATTGTTTAAAAAAAAGGGGGAAAGACTCTCCACCTCCTAATGATGACAAAGCATAATAAATCAAACTAGAGTTTCTGAGAAAAATCCTTGATTATAAAAATGCAGCAAAACTGAAAACCAAAAAAAAAAAAATCAAAAGTATATATAATAGAATATATAATAAGAATAATATTAATGCCTTATTTCTTATCTCTTTTTAATACTTTTTTACAATATTTAATAGATTCAAAGAAATTTTTGGAATAAATAATAAATTATGAAAGGTTGGTTTTACTTGTATTGAAAATTTTTCAGATCTCTTTTTCCTTTTTTTTTTTTTTGATTTGCCAAGATGAAATTATGCAATTAAAGCTGGAATTACCGGCTGAATAAATTGATGAAAAAATTTGCACCAATGTTAAACTGAGCTAAATATAATTTAATGATAATGCAAAATGTCACAATAATTATTCTTTTGAATTCATTTTGATTTTAATTATTTCAATTTTTTAATTTTTTACAGACATAAAAAAAAGCAGATAAAATATAATTTGTTGGGGGCAGGAATATTATTCTTGAATAGGTAATTTTTTAAGTTTTTTCTTTAAGACACGAATTTCTTCATTGATTTTATAAATGATGATAAAGATGACGAGTCAGACAGGAAAATTTTTCTTGATTGTTGATAAATTTTATTTTTACCATTCATGCTTAACTGATTTTTTAATATATATATATATATATAAATATTGTAATTGATTTGTTTTGAAATTGGTTTCTTATCGTCTATTTCATTATTATTATTATTATTATTATTATATTATTATAATATTATATTAGGTACGGAAATTCACTTTTAGACTGTTTCGAATATACAGTACAATACGTTGTTCGAGAAAAGACAGATTTTACTGTAAACGTAAAAGCAGAGTTATAATATTTTGAATTTTTTTTTTTTAAAAAAAAAAAAAGATGAGAAAGAAGAATACACGAATTTTCTGATAATAAGTTTCCAAAATACCCTCAAAAAATTTTTTGAATCAAGTTAATTGAAAAGTCACTTTTGTTTAAATTTGTTATAGGAAATAAAAATAGATGAATAAAAAAGAATGTGCACATGTTACTTTTTATACTATAATCACGGGTGACGTATCATTATTCGCAATTGATTCAAATGTGACTTTTAATAAAATGGTACTAATTTATAATTCTACTACTATAATATATTATATTAATTTTTATAATTGAATAAATTATTTCTTTTTCAAAAAATATTATAAAACAAAGTTTTACACAACCAAATTTGTGTACGATATTATTATCTAGATCGCTTTTTCTTATATTATTATTGTTGTTGTTATTATTATTTACTTTGAAAATTATTTAGATTCATCCGATTCTGAAGGTTTAGAAATAAATACCAACCAACTGATAATGAAATAAAACAAGAATAAAGGATACACGGCTAATGCTCTACGGTTCTCTAAATGAGAAGTCGAAAGAAAATTTACAGATGCTAAAAATAATAAAAATAACAAAAAAAAAAAATAAAAAAAAAAATAATAATAATAATAATAATAAAAATAATGAAAGGAATAAAAAAGTAATAAGCAAGTTTGTAAGTAACAGAATATTTTATATATGTAAATTCAAAGAAAAAAAAATAATAATAATAAATACTTACCGTAAGAAGACCAAGCAAATGCGACAATACATAAAGGCAATCTTACATAAGGGTTTTCCACAAATACTGCGATAAATGCAACCAAAACCAATGGAAAAATACAATAACCAAGAATGCATACGCTCTGAAAGAATGAACTAAAAAATAAAAATAAACAATATAAATAATCTTTCTTTATATCAAAATTAATAGAAATAATAATTTAGAGATATAAACTTACACTGAACCACCTAAAAGTTTTGCATTTATTGTCACTACAGCGGATCCAAGCCAAACGATAATAAAAATATCAGTAAAAACTGAAATTTGTTGTGAATCCGGTGCTCTGATAGTCAACAATCTATATTATTAATTATTATTTATTATTATTATTATTATTATTATTATTATTATTATTATTATTATTATTATTATTATTATTATTATTA